TAGATCCTTTTTAATTTTACCATGTGTGTGTTTGTATGTAGTCTATGTACGTATGTGTGTGTGTGTGCAAGACACCACAGTCACGCATGACTGGTGTCTGTAGGTAGCATCTGAAGTCTCCTGTCCAGGAAAACATCTTTCAGTTTTTCACTGATTACACTGTTTTGTGATTTTCAGGGTGCCATAAAACAGCAGCGCTGCAGCGTAACAACCACAGCCCATCCGTTATATTAATGGTGCACCAGCCCTGCCGCTGCCTATCCACTCGCAACTCACTGTCTCTCTTTGGCTACACCCTGAATTCCTGCCGTGCTGTCTGGGGGTAGACTTGGACCATTGGTGTGCTTGTTTCCTCAGCATCCTCATTGCTTCTTCTAGCCCCGTCTGCTAACAGGGAGGAAGGCCAAGAAGCTTGGAAGAGAGACACTTGGTGCTTGTCTTGGTGCTTTTACATCTTTGTTCTGGTGCTCTGCCTCTCACGCAAACACTCTGTCTGCCATGTGCTTCACTTAAAGTCTTCCTTGACCTCTCTTAGTCCAACTGAAGAGGTCCAACTGTGGCAGGGGAGTCTCTTTTTTTTTTTTTTCTTATCAGGCTGACCCAAAATGGTTCTTAACTGGGAGTTGAACTGGTGCTTTCTAAATCATTTGGAATGGTGTTAATGTTCATAAAAGAAGCCTCTCGCAGAGGCTCTGCTCATTGGTAAATACTGTACAGTAAGGGCTCATGCCCTCAGGCCAGTCTGTGTGTGTATGTTTGTGCTTGAGTGTGTGTGTGTGTGCCTGGGCTCGTTTGTGTGCATGTTTGTGCTTGCCAGCATGTGTGCAGGTGTGATTATTGGGGAGTAAACATTAAGATCAGCATGTCTATGTCATGTGTGTTTGTGTGTATTTTTTTCTTTTTGAGAATATATCTATTTATGTACATATACCGTTATATATATAAAGGTGTATGCGTATATGTCTGTGTTTAAGAAGTCATCCGCCTCAGACATAGTACTCCTTGTCTTTGTTCTTCTTGTTTTTAGAGATCTTGGCGATGCCCAGCGGCTTGTCCTTAGCGCTGCCGTTGGGCTGTGTGGCTGAGTTGCTGATGTAGTTGCGGCTCTCGTCCACGTGGTAGGAGCCTTCGTCGCGGTTGCGATACTTGTACATGGCGTAGAGAAGGATGAGGATGCAGAGGGCAGCGGCTGCTACAATGCCCACCACCATGCCCGTAGTGCTGCTGCTCTCCCGCACCACCTCAGACGGACCCGGGAACATCTTCACCTCTGGCAGGGGAGGGCGGGCTGTGAGGGGAGAGAGCAGGAAATTGATGTTATATGATGGTTTAGTTTATACATTATTAATTTGGATTGCCTGCGATGATGGTGGGAGGAGAACTGGAAGACACAATGCATCGTGGTGATGAATTATTTGACAAGCGTTTTGCATAATGCTACACGCTGGTAAGGGAAAGCTACAGCTTAGAGCCAAAGCTGTTTACATATCATCACATAATGCGTAAACAGATTACAGTACACATCGCTTAGAGGAGGATCCAGAGCACAGGTGCACGTTATATCAGGTTTTATTACATACTTCTGACACTTTACAACAGCCAGAGAGGGCTGCAGTACGGTGAGATTTCACACCGTATTAAATGATTTATAATGAAGAATTTAAATATCAAATTTTATGGCTGTCCAGAGATAAGGGGATGGAAAAGAAAAAGGTGAAGGAGGGAGGAGGTAAATAAAATGGGATATATAAAAATGAAATTTTAATGACAAAGAGCAGGATACAGATGGGAAGATAGGAAGAGATGGAGAGTGTTAGGTAATGCCCGAGGGTGGAAACCTGAGCACAAATAAAAATTTAACTGGAGAGCATAAAAATGGGTAGCAGTGCGAGGTGAGGACGTAAAACAGGTAGGAAGCATTGTTTTTTTCTCTCCAAGGGCCACACACTGAGCATGTATATTGATAACTAATCTTTTTTCTTTTTAACTTATTGGATGTTGGCGGCCAGACTTAGAGGGCCTGGGGGATGTATTTTGCCCATGAGTGACATAAAAGCTGCATAAAGGCAGTTTCACATGTATATTAGTTAATGTTTCTCACCTGAACTGGGGTCACAGGGGTCAATGTCTTCATCATCGCTTGGGCACTCAGCTGATGCCACCAGCAGGTCGTCTGTCGACTGAGAAGAAAAGATGGAGAAAAATTGGCAAACGTGTCCACACACACACACACACACACACACACACACACATTCATATACATACAAACTCATGATCGTCATCATTTCTAAGACAGAAACCGTCAGTTCCCCACACCCCTTCTGTTTATTTCCTGTATGTGTGAGCACACAGCACCAATCTTTCGCCCACCCGTTTTCAGTTGACCATAAACACCTCTGCCTGTTACAGCCCCCAGCAATAGCAGGCGGCCAAAACCTGAGTGCCAAGGAGAGAAGAAGAAAGAAGAGGGAGAAGAGAAACTCTGAATCCCTTTAAAACCACAAGGAGACTGCTTAGTTATTATCTAGTACTGTCTCAACCCTCCCCATCCTTTGTTCTCTTCTGGCCTTTCTATCTGCATTCTGCCATCTCCATCTGATACTGGCAAATGCTCATACGTGAGGCTGAGGACAAAAATAAAACCAGCCTTCATTAGATATCTGCTAAGCGTTTGATAGTTCATTTAAATCTCTTTTATTCAAAACCTCTCCACGAGCACCATGTTGATTTTCTACTTATAGCCCACCTCTAACCTACACCAATCCACTAATACACTCAACGACCGATCCTTTTCCATGCCTTGCTACCTCTCAATGGAAAAGGCGCCCTTTTTCCTCTCAGTCCCTGCTCCTCTTGTTGCCATGGCAACTCTAAGTTCAGGCTGTTAGAAATGATGGGGAATAAAAAAAGAGGAAAAAAAAGGGAGTGTGCACCCTCAGTGGGGACCTGTGCGTTGATTTGCAGTTCCAGCCAGAGTGTGAGGAGAAAGGAGAGAAAAGAGGGAGGGAGTTAAAGATAGATGGATGGATAAAAGGAATTTCAGGTTGAGGCTATTGGGGAGAAAGAAAGAGAAAAGAAGACAGGAGAGGAGGAGGAGCACTTCAAAGTGCTGCGGTCTTTACTTAACACGGTGCTAATGTGCTCCGCATATTCATGAACTACTGTTAAACATCGCCCGCCTTGACGCTTCGGCATGAGAGATATTAAATGTGTGAGCGTGTGTGTGCATACGTGTGTGTGCTTTAACCACACTGGGTGCTCAGTGCCAGCATTAAATTAAAATTGGATTGTGATGCATTGCAGTGGATGTTAGTAACCCACGGAATAAAAGAGAGGCGAGAGAGCAGCGGAGCTAAAAAAGAGAGAAGAGCAACAGAGGTGGAAACTAAAGTGGAGGAGAAATCTAAACCAAATCAAAGCGCTGAGATGTCTAAGTTAGGACAAGAATAGCAAACGGAAACTCATTAAACTGCCATTAAACCTCGCAGTCTCTTCTTCTTGTAGGAGCACAGTTGGTGTGAGTAGCGGAGATGTGAGCCCTCTGAAAAAGCCTGCACTGGCCTTGTATGCTGTTAGTCCTTACAAGTCTGCTGTAGTCCAGTTTGGCCTAAAAGTTACATCAGGTTACTGATGCTTGACTCGTACGCTTTCCTCAGCTGCCTTTCCAATCAGTTCTGCCCACTGGACTGTCAAATGCTGCTAGGGTGAGCTTAGCCTCTGGAATTCAGCCAGTCAATAAACCCTCTGTGCCTTTGCCAGGATTCAAATAGCACATGAACCAATCAGGCCGCAGGAAACACACCACCCCTGACACCTGTCGCCGATCAATTTTGAGCTACGGTGCTTGATGATTGATTCAAAGACACCTATGTGCCCTCCGCAGACACCTGATTTGAATCTTGACTTCAGCTAAAACAAAAGCCGAGGAGCACATTTTTACAATGTCCCTCCTCTGATCTGTGACATCACCTTGTCAGCTGACCACCCCATTCAAAGGGAGGGTGTCAATTGGAGTATTGATCCACTTATCGCAAGGGAGGCAGTGAACACAAGAGAAAAATGGGGACATGCCAAACACAACTTAAATCGCATTGATTACCCACAGAAGTTCATAGAAAATCTGCCAAAGCAAGTGTATGCCCGAGGATCCTCCGCCCCTCTGCCTCACCCTCCTTCTTTGTTCCCATCTTTTCACGGTCTATCAATAGAGCATGCTGACATAATAATGGACACAGATGAACACTGATAGGGAGGAAAAAATAGATACAGGTGGACAAAGCGAGCGTGACAAGAAGAATATCTGCATGCTTAAAGAGTAAAATCTCTACCTGAGCCGCCGAACAGTGCCAACGACCATCCATGCCTCCCTGACTGCCTAGTTCACACATAGTAGCTGCACTCAGTCCTCACACTCTCTTGCAGAAGATTCAACAGCTTGTCTGCTACTTTCACAACTGGAAATCACACACACATGTACTCACACAAACTCTATGACAGCCAAACATGCTCCATTGGTCTTGTTCTATTTAAACACATCTACACAGACACGCGAGCATACACCAGATCAGGCTGAAGTTGGCAGGCTGATGAAGAGATCCTGACGAGAGAGGAGAGGAGCTAGCTCCACTACTGCAGATGGTGAGATAGACTCATACACCGCCTGCATTAACAGCCTATCACTGGAGCTCAA